AAAGTCTTGTATTGTGAGGGCAAATTTTGGGGTGCAACAACGCCCAAAGGCATACTAAACATGCATTTCAAACATACATCTATTTCAAGCATACAAGTACGTGCAGAAATAAAACGAGCATAAACGACATGCAAAAACGAGGCGCACACTTAGATAATTCTCAAAATATATTAATCAAACGCGGGCACCAGCCCAGTAGTCAACATTACATAAACAAGGGCGCGCAGGCCCGACAAAGAAAACAACGAAATACAAAATATGGCGCGCAGGCCGAACTACGCGGGCACGCAGGCCCGGGACTAGTCTAAGCTTCCTCCTCTCCATCAGCTTCAGGCTCCACGACAGGGACGACGGTGCCAGCCTCCTCGGCGCTGGGGTCGACCACCCGGCCGTCGACTATCTCATGGAAGGGGTCGATCCCATCCTCGACGAAGGCGACACCAGAGTTCACCACCCTGAGCTGAGCAACGGCGCTGTTGAAGCCCGCAGCAAAACCATCCAGGCAATCCCCTTCCAGCACGCGTATCCTGGCAAGCAGGTCCGCCCGGGTAACCAGCAGTCTGTCGTCGTCAGTCTCATCACCACCAGGAAAGAGATCGCCCTCGAGCTCCACCACACGAGCTTTCGACGCCCGCAACTCCTCATCAGCAGCCTTCAGCTTCTCCTCAACGCCACCGCATCTCTTGCGCTCGAGGTCAACCTCCCCGCGAACCTTCTCCAGCTCTCCGGTCAGTTGAGTCACCCTCCCTCGGCTTGCTTCCAAATCCTCGACCCCTTATTCAGACGGGACTGTGCGAAAGCGAGATCCCCTTGCAGATTCGACAGTTCGACGGCCGAGCAGCTCTCTTCGCTCAGGACCATCGCCGTAGTGAAAGTCTGCATCAACGCGGCCAAGTCCTCGGTCAGAACCTGCCTTCTCGTAGCGCGATCGACACCCAGAATCACCTTCACCTCCCCCGCAGGAATGCTGGGCGACCTAGCCCCATGAAAGTAGTCGGGATGCTGGTGACAAGGAGCGGTGGTGTAACCCTCCTCGGAAGACTCCACCGATAAATCGACCACGGGCGTATCCTCCCGAACTCTCGCTCTCTTCGGGGGCCCTTGGGAAGTAGGCGACTGGCTACCGGTCGGGGACGCCGACGACCCCCTCCATCCTGCTCCGTAGAAGACTGCCCGACCAACTGAGCCACCCGCGTCTTCGGAGGAACAGCAGCCCTTGACGCGCGCAACTTCTTCACTCGCTCCTCGACATAAGCCATATTCCCTGCACGACAAAAGAAAAATTGGTCAATAAAAAGCTAAGGATATCAAGTCAAAAAAGGACGAGGCGTCCACCACCTAGGTAGCGCAGAGCGTCCTCCTCCGAGGCACACTTGAGCAGAGCTTTTGTGTTGATCATCCTCGGCTTCTCGCGAATGTTTCTGTAACTGTCGAAGAGATACCGTCCGTCAGGGGTGACCAGCTTCGACGACGGTAAATTGCGCACGAAGGAAACTATCTTCAGATAGCTAGCCATGTCCTCGTCATCAAGCATCCCCGCCCGCACGATATACCCACATGTTCCCCGAGAATAATGTTCCAGGGACCACTCCACGTGCACCCAGGGCAGCATGACGGCCTCGCGGCGACCATCCATTATCCTCTCCCCTTCCGAATATAAAGAGCGGGCACCTTCGTGCGTGATAGGGCTGACCACGAAAAAACGACCTTTGAAATCTCGGACAGAATCCATGTACGTTCTGAAAAGTCTGTTCGGCTGCTTGAATGACACCCAGCCATGTCGACCACTCACCGACTGTCGTTGTAGATGGAAAATACGAAAGAACAGCGGCAGCGTGACGCCGACCTGGAGATATTGGCACACGAGCTCGAAGGCCCGAATAAAAGGCAGGGCGTTATGGTGCAGCTGCGACGGGGCCAACCTCAGCCAGTCGAAGAGGCCCAGATGGAAGTCCGAAAAGGGTAACCTGAGCCTAGCCTCTTTGAAGTAAAACTCGCACATCAGAAAGCGCATTTGTCCGTATTTCGAGCAGATCCGATGACCTGGCTGGGGGGTAGACTTGCCAGTTTTGAGGATCCCCCTCTTCCCGGTCTTCCACGGTGGCGTAGGCCCCTGTCGGATCAGAAGCAAAGCAGGAGGGCGTGGTGAGAAGCTCCTCAGCCACCCAGTCTTCGATCGGAACGACGCGCTCATCAAAATAGGGGACGTCTGACTCATTATCCTTGGCCATTGTGCCCAAGACGAGCGTAGTCATTAAACACCTGAAAAGCAGAAGGTAACGGTGAATTCCATGACAGAGATCAAATTCACCCTTCCACCGCAAGTCAAGTGAAAGGGCGACGAGGACTCCCCGAGCATCGTCCTCGGTGAATCTGCCCTAACCTACCACCTCCCCGGTTCAGTAAGACCCGAACTGTAAACCCTCCTCGGAGGCATCCGTCGGAATAGACGTCGCTCCCTGGGACGTTCATCGGAGTGAAGAATCTCTCCCCGGAGCATTCATCGGAAAAAGCTTCCCTCCCCGGGACATTCATCGAAAAAGACTTCCATCCCCGGGACACTCGTCGGAACTAGCGTCTCTCCCCGGGACATTCATAATAAAAACCCTAAAAAACCCTCGAGAACGGCGGAGGTTTTCGCCGCTCCTCGGGGCATTCAAACAGCCCGGCCACGATCAAGAAACAAACAAGAAAAGCAAAAGAAAAGAAAAAGAAAACTTACTGCGGTAAAATCGACGACGGAGAACGCGGCGGCTGTGACGGCGGAGATATCGGACGGCGGCGGGACAGCAGGCAGGAAACTTGAGAACAAAAGGGCGAAAAGTGAGAAATGAGGAGGGGCTCGCTCACTTATACCCCTGCACGGAACTCGAAGCGTCGCTAGATACTTGAGTACCATAGGGTAGCCGCCCTAGCAGCCACCCAGAACGCAACACGTGGCGGAAGCAGACAGACGCGCCTCTTCACCTCTCCCCGCCAATACCCGTATTCGAGCCCAGACGATCGACGACGTAGAACACGCATCCTCGCACGGAGGAATCTTCCCCCGGGCCAGTCCACTACCCCGGAACGACGTCATCAAGTCCTCGCTCCCATCCTCGGAGCAACGACTTGGGGGGCTCCTGTTCTGGCCTAGGCCCCGGGCTGACTATGCTGGCGTAGCCCAATAATGTTCCACCAGGCCCTATCCAGTCCGAGTACCGCGTCGGGCACAAGATCCCCGACACGCAAGAAATATCTCCCGCGAGGAGCACCTGTCCCAACCACGCCGGGCAAGAGAATCGCCCGCACGACCAAGCACCGCCATCCGCGGGCAGTATTCCCCATGCCGTCGTGCAGGACCCCATAGCTCTCCCACGTCCACGTGCGCTCCCCTCCTCGGGGAGAACGACGTGCCTCCGGAGAACCTCGCGAGCTCCCCTCCGCGGGGAGAACAACGTGCCATGCGCACGTTCTCCACGTGCTCCCCTCCGCGGGGACACGTCATCTCCCAACTGTCCCCCTCCGAAAGAGCAGGTCAAACCCACCTTCTGGAGATCACGGGACAGTTAGACTAGGGTGAAGACCCCGTTCTGGTCTTCACTACGCCACGTAAGCCCTAGCAGTCACTTGGGTTGGGTCTGGCCACCCAGCCCAACACAAGTGACCGTTGGCCCAGCGCTAGGGTCTCTCTATAAATACCCTCTTCCACAAGAGAGTCAGGTAATTCACTTCTTACCCACTTTTTTGTACTTTGCTCTCGCTCTGCCCAACTCCTTACTTTGGCATCGGAGTGTCTCGCAGGTACACCCCCCTTTCTCCTCCTCATCACCAGTGAACAGGTAGCAGTCCAACAAAGTGTAGTCAGCTCGTGATCCCCTTCTGATCAGATCAGATCAACTCCTTTTTTCCTCCATATCCAACAACCCTGACCACCCTCCTGGCTTTTTCACCCCCTCTTTGACCCCTTAGTCCTCCCCCACCCACACCCAAAAACATTCTTTGTTCTTTTGCAATTTGAAAGGCAGACCCAAAATTTTGCCCTCTAAACAATATTTGTGGAGTGAGTTGGGGGAGTGTGGTTGCAGGGAGTGAAAAGAAAGGGTGAGGGTATTTTGCCCTCTAAACAATATTTGTGGAGTGAGTTGGGGGAGTGTGGTTGCAGGGAGTGAAAAGAAAGGGTGAGGGTATTTTGATTTTGTAGAAAGGAAAAAAAAAGAAGGGTGTGAGTATGGAAAAAAAAAGTGTAGATAGCAACTCAGATATTCATTTTATGAAACTATTGGAGACAGTGGTATACCAATTTGAAAAAATATAACTCCCCCTGCAACCTTTTCTTAATAAGTTCTCAACACCATTTCAATATTACTTACATTTGAAACAATACTACATCAACTCTTTTTCTCTTTTTCTCTTTTCTAGTCAATACCAAATCAACTCATTAGGCATATATGATTAATAACCTATATCACTGTCATCCATCATTTCTTACTAATGTTGAGTTTTGAATAGAAACTAAAAGATCCTCTGTCTTCCCAGTCAGTTTCATTACACCATTAAAAGGCCAGTTTTCAAACAGATCAAAATATGCAAAGAAAAAATGTCAACTGAAATGCACTTATGTTCATGCTGATCAGAGTTCAAGAAACAGAACTACAGGGTTTTATAATCTGAAAGCCGCTTCTCTTTAAAGTTACAGTACCTGTTAACAACTATTGTACATAGATTGGATGAGCTACATAAATAACCCGAAACAATTTCGCATTCATTTTGATGGACCCTCTGGAAGAAGAAAAAAAATAACTAACTAACTAATCTACATAGCTTATCATACTTACTGTTTCTGGCGGTAAATCATGCACCGACGGCTGCTGCTCAGATTATGCCATAGGAGGAGACCTGCTAATAACTTCCTCTGGGGCTTATAACAAAATTTATAATTCTATTATCACACACATAGGCTTCTTCTCTGATAGATAGAAAGATACAATCCCTGCACTCATACAGAAGACGGAGAAGCTTCAGTAATCATTGTCTTCGTCTTTCATTATTGTATTTGGACCATCGTCAAATCCAGGACTAGGGGCAAGCTCATTCAAATCAAGGAAACGTCTCTTTCCCGTGCCCTCGACTTCTTCTTGACCAGGAGGACTACTTGACTTTTCAGGAGGGTGATTCTGTTCATTCTCTTCTACTGCAGGGTAAGGAACACTAACAGGCTCGTCTACTTTCATTTCTCTCATTTCCTGATCTCCGTCTTCAACGCTATCTGAATCTTCACTTTCCATCATATATTCCCCATTCTCATTATCATTCGCGTTATCATTCTCATTTTCATTCTCACTGGGATCTGAGTGGTCAGCTGATGCATTAGATTTCTCGGGTTTGGTGAACTCGGTTTCTGAATCCGACAACTCGTACTGTTTGTAATTTATACGATTTCTAGTTGCCCTCTTACTGCGTCTTGGACTTGATTGAATCTCACCCACAGACCTGAGTTTAGTTTCCCTCCTAGTTCGGCCAGGCAATCGTTTGGCTTTGCGGGGTTTGTCACTATCCTCACTCATGCTTGCCGAGTCGTCGTCTTCATCCTCCTCCTCCTCTTCTTCATCTTCTAAATTATCATCATCCCATTGATATTCTTCATCTCCTTCAGAGCTGCTAGAATGCTTCCTTCTCTGCTTACGTTTCTTGAGATATTCTTCATCATATACAACCTCTCCAACAATATCATCATCACTTTCAAATTCTGGCTCATAATCTGATACTTCTTCAACAAACTCATTCTCTGAATACCGCTTAGGTTTCCTTCTTCGACGACCACTGTTGTTAAAATAAAATTATTAGTCAAAATTTTGATAGAAGGCATCTGAACAGATCTTGAAGAAACAAATACTACACACCTTCGGTCCAAATTGTCAGTATTATCATATTCATCATCATCATCATCATCATCAGAGTCAAGTGATTCTGGAGATGAGATAGTAAAATTCTGCTCTTGTGCAGCAGCATGTGAAGGACCATGGTTCCCATTAGTCAAAACTTCAGGCTTTGGTACTGGTTCTCTCCTGGGCATAGGTTCTGGGGATGACTGTTTCCGCCTGACAATGGAGGAAACAAATACATATGCCATGAGTACACAATATAGTGAATGAGTGACTGATCCACACACACACACACACACAAATACAGAGGGAAAGGGTATTAGCATATACTTGGTTACTTTTATTGCCTCGTTGATGGACCGATCATAATCATCTGCAACGACATTAGTGGCAAAAGTTAGGTTAGTGTAAAACTGATCCAACAACAATAATAAAAATCCATCTTTTTAGGTAGGAAAAAGAGAAAATAAGGACGCCGGTCAAGACTACTATTCTATTATTTTATGATAATGCATTACAAAAAACTGATCCAATCATCCTATTATCCTTGTAATGAGGCCAAGTACTAGGCTAGCATTTCCAGAACAAACCTATAATATTCAAATATATAATTAAGATATTATGATTTTTTTAGAGACATTCTAACATTTTAAAGGAGTGCAGACTAGTTTAAATGGTAAAATTGGTATAAAGAATATGAGAACAAAAGGGAAATCTCCCCCGTCTAATTCAAATCCTCGTGTAATATAGGCATCAACTACCAATACCATGAAAATGTTGGTTCAAGTTATAATTGAACTGGTTGCTCTTACCGAAAGTGTAAGTCACGGGTTTTCTGTCACGAAGTGCACGCCCAGAGGAAAGCGCGTCAGCAACCAAGTAATTATCAAGAAGAAGAGCTTCTCTGTGCTGCTTTTTCAGCAATCTCTCTTTTTTCTGTGACAACATATTTTGTATCAGTTAAAAATGTGACTAAGATCCTTTAAAGAAGCACGAATCAAGAATCTTCTAATTTTCTAAAAAAATAGCAGACTTGAGTTAAATTCTTGGAATACCAATTCTAGTCAGATTTCTCAACCCTAGAGTACCTTGTGAACTTTCTCAATTTCAGGAAGCATGTCTATCTTCAGCTTTTTTCCCACCGAAGTCTCTGTTCTGTTTTTACTTGAGAAAAGCTTCTCCTGCATAAACAGGTGAAAGAATTGATTAATTCATATAGAGAAAGCATATGCAATTTGAAATAAAAGCAGCAGAAAGGGTACCCAATTCTTTTCTTAGGTTTCTTTTATCCTAAGACAACAAAAAATGAAAGGAATAATGGCATTGAATAATGATTTATTAGCAGCCTTGAAAAATTGAATAATGAAATGAAATAAATATTAATACAATCTTTAAGAATCTCAGGTGATCTAAACACGAAATTGCGATTTATTAAGCTGAGTCTGACAAATAATTAGTGAATTTTTAATATATTTGTAATTCATAGACAATACGTAATTTGGAATTCCTACTATATTACAGTTCTGTATTGTAATAAAATTTGCTTTTAACATAAGTTGGGATTCCAAATAATAAAATTAGGAATAATTTTGCGGTTTCCAACAAAACGACACTATTATGTATTTACCATTAAACTTTTAAGTGATTCATTATCTGGCTCAACAATCTATAACACCAACACCGAGCAATCAACCCAACAATTACTACATGTTCATTGTCCCAAAGAATATAGATCAACCAGCTAAAGCAGCAACTTACAGAAACATCTTGAAACTCATCAAAGTTGGTAGCAACTGCTTCCCATTGATATGACGTACTAGAAAGAATCTGGGAACCTCTTGATCTCCCTTTCCTTGGTTGAATCACTTCAGTTTTCCTTATTTCTCTATACAACCTATGACCAATCACCGGGTCATCTTCATACCTGCACTAATCAAATTTCAAATGAATAAAACTATAAACAGACACGTACAACAACTTTCTAATATCACATTCCAAATCTCGATCAAGATGAAGAGAAAGCAAAAGTATATTACCAATAAGAAATTCCATTAGAATCACCTCCAATACGCTCTTTACGGAATGTTGAAAGTGGAGCGCCATGTTTAATTGAGTTGTCAATATAATTTCGGATATCTTCTTGCTGCAATATATTACTCAAATTTGATCATTACATCATTGGTACAGACAGAGAAGTCCTCGGCCCTTGGGAAAAAAATACCATGTAGCCACAAATATATGTGGATTGTATGTAATACATGACATGACAATATATTGATGCTGATCAACCTTGTTAAGTATACAAGTATGAAGAACTGCTTTAAGTGAAAGATAAGAGGAATGAAAAATAAGCCAAGACAGGGTTGTTGTAACTGTTGAATATTAGCACAAAATCAAAACAGATTCTGTCATACAGCTCATTATGGCTGGATTCAAATTGTGATTAAATAGAAATTAATTGTATTATTATATTCTTACCTTATTTAGGATTAGCATTTATAGGGAGAATAATTACCCCTATTTCTTAGTGTAATTTATATTCTATAAATACTCATGTACTATGTTACAGAATAAAAATAATATAGAAAAAGCATATTTCTATATGGTATCAGTAGCAACAAGAATCCTTTAGGGTTTTTTTTTGTTTTTGCTTCCGCTCTGTTTATCTTTTTTACATCCCACAATGTCTGATACCGAGTCCTCACTTTCACCCAAACATTCCTCACCCGAACCTAAATTAGTTCGAACGTACCATGAAAACCACCCTGTTCAGATCACAACAATTCGGCTGAACGGTGCTAATTATCTTCGATGGTCGCAATCCGTTCGTATGTATCTCAGGGGGAGAGGAAAGATTGGCTACATTACTGGCGACAAAAAACAACCAGACAAGGCAGGTGCAGATTATGATACATGGGATGCTGAAAACTCCATGGTCATGACATGGTTAGTCAACTCCATGGATGAAGAGATAGGTGCAAATTATCTCTGTTATGATACTGCAAAAGAACTTTGGGAAGGTGTCTCCCAAATGTACTCTGATTTGGAAAATCAATCCCAAATCTACGAATTAACTCTCAAATTGGGAGAAATTCGGCAAGGTGAAGATTCAGTCACCAAATACTTCAATTGTCTCAAACGTATTTGGCAAGATTTGGACCTTTTCAATGAGTATGAGTGGAAATCACCTGCCGATAGCAAACATTACAAGAAGATGGTGGATGTTAGTCGTGTTTTCAAGTTCCTTGCGGGTCTAAATGTTGATTTTGATGAGGTTCGTGGCCGAATTCTAGGCAGAAATCCTATCCCTCCAATTGGTGAAGTCTTTTCAGAAGTACGTCGCGAAGAGAGTCGTCGGCAAGTGATGCTTGGCAAAAATACAGCAGCTGTCCCTCCACCAGTTGAAGGATCTGCCTTGGCAATTCCCCATGTCAATCGTAAACCACTTCATAATCAACGAGGTGGAGACAAGACTCATTTATTTTGCGATTACTGTGGGCGCAATCGCCACACTCGGGAAACTTGCTACAAACTACATGGGCGACCAAATCATGGCAAGGCCGGTAAGTTTGGTGATCGTCCTATGCCTATGGCCAATGAGGCTGATTCGTCTCCATGTACGAAGGAGCAAATGGATAACCTTCTTAAGTTTCTAAAGTCCAATTCATCTCTTAATACCCCTACTGGAACTGTGGCACAAACAGGTAAGGATTCTTGGGCACTATCTGCTCACAACCACTCTAACCCTTGGATAATAGATTCAGGGGCATCTGAACACATGACTAATTGCTCTCATCTATTCAGTACCTATTTTCCTAGTTCAGGTTTTGAAAAAGTTAGGATAGCTGATGGTAGTTATTCAAGTATTGCAGGCAAAGGCAACATAAAAATTTCAGAGCAAATCACTTTGCAATCTGTTTTACATGTTCCTAAATTCGCTTGTAATCTTCTATCTGTTCATAAATTGTCTAAGGACACTAATTGTTCTGTTCTTTTTCGTCCCTCTACTTGTGTTTTTCAGGACCAGAACTCGGGGAAGACGATTGGAACTGCTAGAGAGATGAATGGATTGTACTACCTTGATGGAATTCAGTTTGGCAATAAAGCGTTTTTCGGTTCAAACAGTACAAACGCATCTCCTGTTTCAGATCAAATTATGTTATGGCATAAAAGATTAGGTCACCCTAGTTTTTCATATCTTAAGCATTTGTTTCCTATTTTTTCCAAAGAAATAAATTCCTCACAATTTCATTGTGAAGCTTGTCACTTAGCTAAAGATCATCGTGTGTCTTTTAAATCAAAAGTCTATTCTGCTTCTAAACCTTTTTATTTAATTCACAGTGATGTTTGGGGTCCTTCAAAAATTAAAACTATGTCTGGAAAAAAATGGTTTGTAACATTTATTGATGATCATACACGGCTGTGTTGGGTTTATCTCATGGAGAAAAAATCAGAAGTTGAACAAAGATTTCAAGATTTTTTTTACATGATTAACAATCAATTTCAAACTAAGATTGGCATTCTAAGGTCTGACAATGGCACTGAATATTTCAACAAATATTTAAGTACATTCCTTGTAACTAAGGGGATAATTCATCAATCCACTTGTCGCGATACTCCGCAGCAAAATGGTATTGCTGAAAGAAAAAATAGACATCTCCTCGAAGTCACTAGAGCTATTATGTTTTCTATGAATGTACCTAAGTATCTTTGGGGAAATGCTTTATTAACTGCTTGTCACCTCATCAATCGAATGCCATCTCGGGTGTTACAATATGAAAGTCCTGTACAAGTGTTACAAAACAATTTTCCTACATCTCGTATTATTACGGATCTTCCCCTTAAAATTTTTGGTTGTCTTTGTTATGTTTACATCCCCAATGTTTTTCGTTCTAAGTTGGATCCTAAAGCCGAAAAATGTGTTTTTCTTGGCTATGCTTCCAATAAAAAGGGATACAAATGTTTTAACCCAGTTACAAAGAAATTTTTTGAAAGCATGGATGTTCACTTTGTTGAAAATCAACCTTTTTTTAAAAATTCTCTTCAGGGGGAGAGTCAATGTAATAATAAAGAAGATAATTTTTGGGAAACTTTGCCTGCTCTAGATGATATTGTGACTACAAATCACCCAAATGCTAAGATAATAGAATCTGAAACAGGGGGAGAAACACTGATTAAGGATGATAATCCTGAACTTAAAGTGTATGTTCGAAAAAAATTCCACAAAGGTGGTGCAAACCCTATTGTCTCTCCAGTAGAAATCCAATCTGATTTACCAAGTGAAGGTCCTACAGATAATCTGTCTTCTAGTTCTTCATCTGGTAATCCTTCTTACTCATCCAATGATTTATCTGATTTGTCTTTTCCTGATATTAATCTTCCAATTTCTGTGAGAAAAAATATTCCTGACCTCGATGTCCCAATTGCTGAGAGGAAAGGTTCTCGTATGTGCACTAAACATCCTATGTCTAATTACTTGTCATATGACAAACTATCACACACCCATAAGGCATATGTGTCTAGGATTTCTAATTTGTTTGTGCCCAGAACTATTCAGGAAGCATTAAGTGATCCGAATTGGAAATTAGCAGTGAAAGAAGAGATGGATGCTCTAAACAAAAATAACACTTGGAGTATCACTGATCTACCACAAGATAAAAAGGCAGTAGGGTGTAAGTGGGTCTTTACAGTGAAATGCAAGGCTGATGGAAGTGTGGAAAGATACAAAGCGAGATTAGTAGCAAAAGGATTTACTCAAACTCATGGTATTGATTACCAAGAGACTTTTGCCCCAGTTGCTAAGATCAATTCTATCAGAATTCTTCTTTCTCTTGCAGTAAATTTCAACTGGACACTATATCAATATGATGTTAAAAATGCCTTCTTGAATGGTGAATTACATGAAGAAGTATATATGAGTTTACCTCCTGGATTTGAAAAAAATCTTGGAAGAAACAAAGTATGCAGATTGAGAAAATCCCTATATGGATTGAAACAATCGCCAAGGGCCTGGTTTGAGAGATTTGGAAGTGTTGTTAAGAGACACGGTTTCACCCAAAGTCAAGCAGATCACACTATGTTCTTTAAACACTCATCTGAAGGTAAGATTGCTATCTTAATAGTGTATGTTGATGACATTATTATTACAGGAGATGACGTCAAAGCAATTAGTGATCTGAAGAGAAGACTTGAGGCTGAGTTCGATATCAAGGATCTTGGAAAGTTAAAATACTTTCTTGGGATGGAGTTCGCAAGATCTAAAGAAGGTATTTTTCTCAACCAGCGCAAGTACATACTCGATTTACTTGCAGAAACAGGGATGACAGGGTCTAAAGCAGTAGAAACACCAATGGATCCCAATGTGAAACTAAAGTCAGTTGCTGAAGATGAAATAGTAGATAAAGAACGTTATCAACGATTGGCTGGAAGACTAATTTATTTGTCACATACAAGGCCAGATATAGCCTTTGCAGTGAGTGTAATAAGCCAATTTATGCATGCACCAGGTGCAGCCCACTTTGAAGCTATTTTCAGAATATTAAGATATTTGAAAGGTACTCCGGGAAAGGGGCTGATTTTCAGAAATAGAGGACATATACAGGTTGAAGCCTATACAGATGCTGATTGGGCAGGTAATATAAATGATAGAAGGTCTACCTCAGGATATTGTACTTTTGTAGGTGGAAATCTAGTTACATGGAGGAGCAAAAAACAAAATGTTGTAGCCAGGAGCAGTGCAGAAGCTGAATTCCGATCTGTGGCCCATGGTTTTTGTGAAGTATTATGGATCAAAAAGTTCATGGAGGAATTGAAGTTCTTTGGCCCAACTCCAATTAAAGTTTACTGCGATAATAAGGCTGCTATTTCTATTGCCCATAATCCTGTCCTACATGACAGGACGAAGCATGTTGAAGTGGACAAGCATTTCATCAAAGAAAAAATTGACAGCGGTGAGATTTGTATGTCCTACATACCTACCAAAAGTCAAGTAGCAGATGTTCTCACAAAGAGTCTTCCAAAGAGACTGTTTGATAACATGGTGTGCAAGCTTGCTATGAACGATATATTCATGCCAGCTTGAGGGGGAGTGTTGAATATTAGCACAAAATCAAAACAGATTCTGTCATACAGCTCATTATGGCTGGATTCAAATTGTGATTAAATAGAAATTAATTGTATTATTATATTCTTACCTTATTTAGGATTAGCATTTATAGGGAGAATAATTACCCCTATTTCTTAGTGTAATTTATATTCTATAAATACTCATGTACTATGTTACAGAATAAAAATAATATAGAAAAAGCATATTTCTATAGTAACAGAACAAAACAAAAACAGCGGAAAAAACATCTAATGTCATGCACAGAACACAATAGCGGTTAATTCAGGGTATGGCATGAATATGCATGATCTTCCAAAGTTCGCCCATTTAAGATGAAAAAGATGTAACATACAGATAAATCAACATCAACAGTACCTCAACACGAATGTCACATAATGCTTTTAAGATGATAATACGGACAGCTGGATCAAGTGATTTATAAACTTCAATCTCCGTCCTGTCAAGATAAGCATAATTTGAGACTTGGGAATTATAGAGTGAGATTATAGGAATTTAAATATTGCAAGAATATTTACCCATGTGAAGCAACAATCGGAAGATCCCCCTCGGCAACCTGCATTTGATTTCATCCTCTTATAAGTTCTAGAAAATTGTAAACAAACTACACATTATTATTAAATATAAGCACACAGTAAAAGTATCTACTTACCCAATGCCACCAATCTCTCAATTTTCTGCATAATACGGTTATCCAAGTATCACGTGTGAGTGCCATTCGTGTAACAGGAGGGATTGCCTATCAAAAGGTGTAATAAACGTTAAAATCCAACTAGTAGTAGCTTTGCAAACACGAGAGAAAAAAATATAACTTAGTAAAAGTAATAGACATTGAGAGAGATCATTGCAGTAGAAACAAATTCAAACAAGCATCCTTGACTTTACCCTACTCTAACTTAATAATTGTCTCAACAACACAATCACCCCATTGTCATTGATAGCAGATGGCTGACCATGGCAGAAGGCCGCTAAATCCACCATCCACCATCCTATACAAATTGGCCATAGCGAAGCGGGGAAATTGCATCCACAATCTACCATGGCCGATATTTGATAACACTAAGAGACCAATGCCACCAATCTCTCAATTTTGTGCATAATACGGTTATCCAAGCATCAAACGTGAGTGCCAATCGTGTAATAGGAGATATTGCCTACCAAAAGGTATATAATAAAGGTTAATATTAGCAATTTGCATACACAGGAGAAGAAAGTGCAACTTTCTAAAGTAATATATATTGATAGTTTATTGCAATAGAATGATAGCTGAAACAACTTCAGACACCACTTGCAAGATTTGAAAACATGCATCCTTCACTTTACCTTACTCTAACTCAATGTTTGCTACTCGACAGCATATCTACCCCCTTACAAGAGACCAATGTTATTGATTGCAGATGGCTGATCATGGCAGAAAGCCGGAAATCTGCCATTTTAAGCCGCTATCTATGACAAATCGGTCATAGAGGCTGGGAAAAAAACAGTCCCTGCAACTGCCATGGCCACTATTTGACAAAACTAAGAGACTAGTGCTAGAAAACTGTAATTATAATGTTCAAACTAAAAACAAATGTCTATATAAAAAAAAACGTCAGGAATCATTTGTACTGATCCGTTCATCTCGGAAAGGCCAATTGAATATCCTTCCTCTATTACAATCATTTTGACACCGAAATGCAAGAATTTCAATGAAGTGTTAAATCTTCAAACATTTCAATGTATACTTTTACTTGATAGTTGAATGTTCTAGTGACAATAGTTCATGTGAAAAACCTTTCAGTAATAATTCGGTATAAAGAAGACGCATGTAGCCAAAGTTACAAGAATTTTTAAATCTTAGCCTTTTATTTATGCAATACACGAGGACGAAACATACATTTTAACCTTTGCAAGATTAATGTTGGTTACCACTGAGATAGATTTGCATCCGGAACATTAGGAACAAACCCAAAGCCAATGTATGGATAAAAACAGACTAAGCTTTAAAACAGGAGCAGATCGTTCACGAAATTGTAACCATTTAATACAGGCAGCAAATCATTGTTGTTCTTACTTCTTACAAGTTCAAACATGATAACCTCCTACTTCTCACACGCAAATTGGGCATTTAGATCAGAGTATCACAAACAAACCAACAAATCCCCAATTTAACACTGACGTGGATAAAAGGAACGGTGCAAGTTCATACTTATCGCTTTTACCAAATAAGCAAAGGTCTTAACATATAATTAATAATAAGAACCTCCCGATCAAGTAGCTTATCTCTTATCTCTACTTAACAATCTCTTTCAAGCATGCAATTCAGTCACAAGCAATTATTACCGTCTCAGAATATTGTATTTGTCAAGTTCAATGCTATATCAACAATTAGTAATGTAATTAGAAGTCAATCTGCCCAATGAACAAAGCTACCTCCCAAATCCCAATCGTTGGGTATTCCTTAAGTTTATCGCAAGCCTTTAACCCACTCGTGTAAAAAATTTAGACAAACCATCGCCTTAGTAATAAAGACGTCCTCAAACCACATGGCTGCATTTATGCTTGGAACAATAATAACCAAGAGCAATGCAAAATATGTGTTATCCATTTGCCAACATCCAATCAATGAGCATATAAAAAATAAAATAAAAACCACTTCACAGCTCTGAAATTTCGCATTTGGTCAAATATACAATAAAACCATCTTACAAACTAGAACTTGCAATCCAATATGACAAGATTTAAAAAGCATAAACATTACAAACTAGCAAAATTCAACAAAGAAAGCAAAGAAGCATCATGATAGAACATTAACAATAGCACAGAAACTAAATTTACAAAGTGTAAAAGCAACATTCATAGTACCACCAACCTTTAGCAAAGGCATGTGAATGTAAAACAAAGTGTCATTGGGATTAAGAAGAGCCGTCTCAAACTCTTCAGCCGAGAATTCAAGTGAAATATTCAACAGAGGTCTAAACAACTGCAACAACAAAGTACACCATAAAAAAGCAACCTTATCAAAACAAACAAACCCAAAAAGATCATGCCTATGAAGCTCACATTCAAGAAATTGAGTACAGAAGCTAACTCCCACATGGACCGCAAGTTCCACCGCGAGAGCTGCGACTCAGACGGGGTCTCCACAAGCGGCGTAACAATCTTACTGTTACTACATTGCGGCGGAGAAGGAGACTCCTCCGGTTCCTCCCGTCGTTGCTCTTTCTTCGGTTTCCGCTCGATTACCGGCTGAGAAGAATAGTTTCTCGAAGCGGCACGAATCGTGCAAGCTCGGGAAGGGCGGTTGCTTCTGGTGGTCGGCGGAAGAGGAGCAGCGGATGTTTCCTCTTTAGGTACATCAGCGATGCTGTGATTTTTGGAATCTAGTTCCGGCGACGGTGATGATCGGTCGTCGGCGTCAGCGGGAAGGGAAGAGGGAGATCCGTTAGACATGATGTGAAAAAAGGGTTTATGGAAGTTATGGTGAGATCACATGTAGAGGATCACGGGGTTGTTAGCATTTGGATTGGATTAGAGAGAGAAAGAGAGATGAAGAAGATTGAAAAAGGAAGGGACCAAAGGGTCCAATTTCATTCAAACCCTGAAATACAAAGGGAAAATAAAACCCTATCTATGAATTTTTGTGTTAATAATAAAATAATTAAAAAAAAATAAAAATAAAAAATCTGGGAAGAAAGAGAATGGTGATTGTTGAAAGAGAGAGACCTGAAATTTGGTTTGAAGTGAAGTTAAGTTAGATTTGCCTTCACTGAGTAAACTTTTTCATGTTCTTTTTATCCTTTTGCTGGATCTTATCTTACCTATGTTTTTGTTTTTATTTTTTTTACCACAAATATTTTTGACCGTTTGTGTGTCTATCTAATGTAAGTAACATGTTTTGTTGTGTGTATGTGGTGGGGCATAACAAAGGCTTTTCATCTCATCATGATGGACATTCCACTCCATGGGTTAACTTAGATTCTTTCATGTCTTGATCATTAGTACTTGCAATGTTGGAAAGACAAGTTTTATTAACAAGATGAATATGTATGTGTTTCCACACATACACACAAAATATGAATGTGTCTTTTGTATGTTTTTATATTATATTTGAACTTGAATTGATAATGAAATTGTCAATCTTATTCTAATTTTCATTGAATGCAGTTTGACCTCATATTTTAATCAATTTGTGATTTAGATGCTCACTTTTTAAAATGTTTGATTTTGATTCTTCTCTTTTTAAAACTTTGAGCATTTAATCTCATATTTCAATCTACCTTGCAATTTTAATGACTTGTAAAACATTTTGATGACATGAAAAAAGTCTTTGGTGAATAGGCATTAGTTATAGATCAATCAGAATTTTTTAAAAATTTATTTTAAAAATAAATTATAAATTTAGTTAAAAAATAAAGTAAATTTTAAATTAAAAATTAATATTTTCATGCTTATTCGAGATTTACATAGATCTAAACTTAAGGATTTGTTTGGTTCAAAATAAATGGGAGGGAGTAGAAGGAACATTTTTAAATATATATATTTGATTCAAATTTTATTAGAGGATAAGAGGGTATGGAAGGGGAAGGAATGAAATTTTTTACGTTTAAAAATTATTATATTTATTAAATTATCTTGAGTTTTATTTTAATATTTTAATTTTTTGATTAAATATGTTTTTAGTTCTTATAATAATACCATCATTTGATTTCAGGTTTAATAAAAAATTTCTTCGACTAATGGTCTTCTGAATGTTTTTCTTCCGTATCTTTGGTATGTTCTGTTAGTTTTCACTAGTGGAGGTTGACGTGAAAGAACATGTGACGTGATTTTTACACTTTGGCATATGATTACTTGGCCAACATGGACTTTGATGGAATAAAATTAATGTTTTATCAAGTAATCAAACGTTATTTCTTAAAGGGTCATAAGCGTTCAACCATTTGAAACCCTACCGTTTTATATATGAATCTTCTATCTCTTTTTCTAGTTATGCTTCATTGGTGTCTCGTTCATTTTGCTTGTTCGAATTGTTGCATCACCAAACATTTAGTGTTTTGTTGTTTGTATGCGTTTATGAAGAAAATGGAAAAACGTTGCTTTGTCGGTGTGGTGGTCCCATTAAGGTTAATGAAAGTTTATCGTTGTCCCATTGAGATATTTTCAAACTGTATCTTGTAGTCTTGTTGTGGTCCTTTGAAATTCTTTTCAAGTTGGGACAAATGTTGGACCAAATGTCGAGAACATCGTATACTAGAAAAAACCAATTTGCAAGACAGATAGCAAAAAACAATTACAACAATAAAGAATACAGGAGAATTGGTAACCTAGATTGGTACAACCTCGCTTATATGCCTGGGGTGCTTCCAACGCAAGAAAGGAAATCCACTATTTCGAATTAGTACAATTAGACTTATAAGAACAACAATCCTATTTTGTTTAATGTTTCTTCTTAGTCCTAACGACTGCCTATTTGGGACTCCCCCTAAATATGAGAAACTATATCACTTTCTCTCAATCACTAATTTTAAGTGATCATTACAATAATCAAAATAATGATTGTTGAATTACAACTTAACTAAGCAAATCAAACTCTATGCTTTAAGATATGAATAAAAGTGCTAAAGTGATGCACAAACAACAATAAAAACAGACTCAAAAGATAGACCCTAACACAAGGAATCTCCAATACTTGCACGCCTCAAACATTAGGTTTGGTATCCTTAAATAGCAATGCAAATTCTCGGTTTTTTCCAATGTGTATTAGATCACGTCTAAAATTGTAGGGTATTTTGTTAAGATTTGTTTTTCAAATATCCTTCAAAAAGATTTTATTTTATTTAAATTTAAATCTCTATTTAAATTGATTTGAACACGTCCAATCTAATCAATATAAATCTACATAAATGCATTGCTAAAATATAGCAACAAATTTGATTGAGATCCAATCAAAAATCACATTCAAAATAACATACATCGTGGCCTTCTGACAAAGGTCAGATGTTGCACACATGCTAGAACATTCGGTTCGACATCCGTCATCGTGACAAAATTCTGAATCTTAAACCATTCAAATAAAATATTTATTTGATATAAATCACTATTCCAACTTCTCAAGTAAAAGATTCTTAATAAATCTCTTGCTAAAACTGAACCACACTTATAAATCTTGGATTGAAGATCTTCAAACTAAGTGCAAATTCATATCTTGTAATTAAAACAAATCTCACTAAATCTATTCATAGAATATTTGTTTACTTAAATCTTCAGCAAAATCTTGGATAAGATTGAATCAAATTTATCTTCAAAGTATATCGAATTAAATGTTTTTTTCAATGCAAATCCAATCAAACCTTCTAATTTAAACTAACTCCAAATATTTTTAAATAATCCTTGGCTAATTAAATCTTCTTCAACCTAATGGATTAATAAAATATTTTTAATATTTGCTAAAAGATATAACAACAAATCTCCTAGAAATCACACACCAACGCACACAGATTCACTCACAAATCTTGGTCTGCAGGATAAGGCCAGATGCTGGAACATCTTGTTCCACATGTCGCCTCTGAATATAATACATCTTGTACATATTATCATACCCCAATTTTATCAGAGTATCTTATTATTATATGGATTTTAGTCGCATTTTATATCAAATGAATGAGTTAGCTCATTTTATTATTCTCATTTAGCTATTTTTATTTTTATCATTATTATTGTCATGTTATTATTAATTTAGCATTATTTTTATCAATATTCTTTTTAACTTTATTTTTACTGTTATAATTGTTATTATCATTACTAATTTTTATTTATTTTTGTATCATTATAGTTATTATTACCATATCATGTTTAGAATTATTTATATGTTATTATTCTTATTAGGTTTATTTTATTTTTATTAGAATTATAGTATTAGTATTATTAGTTTATTACTATGTATTTTTATTATAATATCTTACTATTATTAGTTAATATTATTATATTTATTTTTTATTTATAATTTATATTCTTGTTATTCCTTATTTTATTTTTATTATTAGATTTATTATTATTAATTATTATTTTTATGGTACTATTGTTATTATTTAGTGTTATTTATTTTATTATTAATAGGTTTAGTATTATTATTTTCATTGTTATGCACTTTTTATCACAAAAATATCCAAGTCATTTCAATTTAGATCAAATAGAAAAAATCAAATCTTCATTCATGAGTGATTTAAAAATTACATCATATTGAAAAAATCATTCCACAAATACACCAACTTGATCTCCAAGTCAATCATTCCAAATCAAATTCTCAATTAATCACAATTAGATTCAATCATACAAATCTTTCATTTTTTTACAAACTGAGATCCAAAGACTCAATCTACAAAATCATGCCAAAAATATTCAAAAAAATCACTAAACATAAAAATAAATATTTTAAATGCATTGTATTTATTTTTTAATAGGATTTAAATTAGTTTAGTTAGATTTTTATTTAGTTTGATTTTAATTTGGTTTTTAAGTAGTTTTATTACATTCGATTTTTAAAAATAGATTAATGCTTGCATGTTTATTAATTTGTTTTAAAAATATAAAAAATCACAAAAAATATAAATAACTTTTCTAATTTGTCATTTTCGTCTTCTAATTGATCGCATTTTGACAAATTTGTTTCTGATTGGTCAAAATTTGTCAGCTTACTAATCAAGACAAATTAGATGACATCTGATATTATTTGATTTTTTTTCTTCCTTTTTTGTATTTTAACCTAGTTTTTTCACACTATAAATAGACACTCGTTTATACACATTTTTCTCATCCATAATTCATAAAACTCAAATCACAAAAATTGTTGCTCTTCACATTGAAGAACAACAACTAAACCTAAAGCTCCAAACTTTGCATATACTCTCTCATTAATCCAAGCAAAAAAAACTTCCCACTAAAGGAGAAAAGGGAAGATCTCGCATAATAGGGAAATAAAATAATGGAGGAGACGGCTTATAGTTGTCACGACACTCCAGGTTGGTACCCTCTTTTCCATATCTTTAAGCGTGTGTCTGATTATTGTGTTTGATGTAGGTTAGAATTTATTCTTGTTTGAATTTTGGTTCGATTGTTCGATTGCTATTTGCTTTGTGTACGATTTATGATCTTTGTTTGTGATATTGATGTTATTTTTTATTTATTTTTATAGTCACCTTTTTTTATAAATAAAAAATTTCTTTCTTGAGTCAAACTAAAAATATCAAACTTTTCTCTCTCACCAAGAAATCTCATTGAAAATATTTTTTTAATATGGTCAAATAATTAAGTCAATACAAAAGATTCCTCGCACATTCTTTTCTTCATGTTTTAGAAACAACACATTTGCATTCCAAAAATTTTCACTACCACAATAAACTATACACTATTAACCAACCTCTATCTCTATTTTCATTCACGTTTGTTTAGTT